CCCCAAAACCCCAAAACCCCATGCTCCCATTATTCATAGAACATTCGAAATCGAAGATTGGTTAACATGCGAAATTCTTAGTCTTAAAATTCTACAGAATTCATCAAAAATATACGTAATTGGACATATAAAATCTAAATTAATATCTACTTTTCCAATTATAAATTAAAGAATCTATTGAAAATGCAAGGATAGAAAGATTTCGGAAGTCTAACAGATGATGAGCAACTCCAAAAACTCAAGGAACTCTCAGAGCTCTTGATTAGCAATGGTCTTGGCCATATCAAGCCCAAGATCTTCGATCAGGTTGTATGCCCATTGAAGGCTCCAACTATTATGAGATAGACTGCTCTTTTAGCAGAGGGTAGCGTTGTAGCTGAGCAAAAAGCTGCAGCTGACAAAGTGAAGAAAGAAGCAAACTAAACTATTTTAGCTGGAATCAATCCAAGAACCGTCCAATTCGAGATTGAATGTAAACTCGCTGTTGGTACTCCAATGATCGACATCACCGAGGTCATTGATATCAACACTGAAGAGGAGCACACCATCTCTCACAAGCCAGGTCAAGTGATCCTTCTCGACTTCTGGGCTACATGGTGCCCCCCATGCCAGGCTCCAATGGCTCACAACCAAGAAATGCTAGAGCATAACGGCGCTAAATGGGGAGATAAGGTTAGAATCATCGGTATTAGTATCGATTAGACTGTTCCACCAGTTCTAAAGCATGTCAAGGCTAAGGGCTGGGAAAAGGTTGAACATTTCCATCGGGCTGGTTCTAGCTCAAGTGAAGACTACGGCGTTAAGGGAGTGCCTCATGTCGTCCTAATTGACACTAATGGAAAGATCGTTTATATCGGTCATCCAGCTTCAAGAAAGCTAGAACAAGACATCGAAACTTTACTTAAGGGAGAAGCACTTAAAGGTGTAGCCGGTGGTGAAGAAGATGAGGAAGATGAAGAAACTGCCGTTTTCAATGATGTCGATGTCACTCAACTTTGCCAAGAAGTAGCTAAGTTCAAGGATGCTGTCGAGGGTCTTCAAAAGAATGAAGAGCTTAAGAAAGCATCTGCTTCACTATAAAGAGACTTTGTTGTTCTCGTCAGAGAGACAAAGTTCGACAATGGAAAATATCTTTCAAAGGTCGAAAACATCAATGTCTTAGTTGGAGGCGAAACAGCTGTTGAAGAATCTAAAGTTCATATTTAGAAGTTCTTAGATGACTTCAAGGGAAATTTCAAGTCGACCTGGAAAGTCCAAAAGGCATGAAGGTCTATTATTATTAGAGAATAAGACACATTCCATTTGGGAGAAATGAAGGCTTATATTTATTGATTAACCAAGCTTTAATTCTCTTATTTATCTTTAAGTCACTTAATTTAGAAGTATATTTCATTAGGGGTTTTGGGGTTTTGGGGTTTTGGGGTTTTGGGGTTTTGGGGTTTTGGGG